TGGATGGATGGATGGATGGATGGATGGATGGATGGATGGATGGATGGATGGATGGATGGATGGATGGATGGATAGAAATATTTCTTGTCCGTAAGAACTTGACAAAATCTATAATTTAAAATGTCTGAAATGTGAATCTAACTTTTCCATTAAATATTGTATATATTAAACATATGAACATTATTTAGATGTCTGTCTTTGTGTGCAATGATTTAATAAGATGTTCGGGTTTGCCCAGTTTTTAAAGCAACCAGAGGTTGCAGTAATTTGGTAGGCTGCATTAAAGAGGCAAGCAGCCTTAAGCAATTCATCATGACTCCAGATGTTGATGTAAACATTTCCATAGATATTTATTCGAAGGGACATGCTGCAGACAGACATCATGTCTAACTACACTGAGAGTTTTCAGTGAATTAAAAAGCGACTTACGATGACTTTTTACCCATTTGGTGTTCTATATAATACTGAGAAACGTGTGTAGCATGCTTCTGCTGCTATGTTTAAAACTTCGTAACTATATAACCCAGCTCATTCATCACTGCAGAACCCACTTTATCTGATCTGTTTTGAAATACAAACTTGGATGAAGTTACTGTAGCCGTAACTTATAGACATTGACACTCACCATGATCCACAGGTGTGTTGAGAAAAACATCTTTTTTTTGTTCCCCTTTGAGATTTAATAAATAATACAAAAATATATTTTTTTTCTGTTTTTTTGGAATAGAAATTATGACAAATGATTGCTTTTAATATTATCATATCATTAATAAACCTAATCTATATACTGTATAGAGAGAAACAAAACAGATAAACAGCTTCAAGGGTTTAAGACGGTGACAAACAAGGCCAGTGGCAGATCTGTTAGTATACTTATGCGATCATAACAAAACATTAACTGAATTAAAGGCTTTTTACACATCTTTAGCAGGGATGCTGATAAGTTTGGAGGTTGTATTACATCAAAGTAATGGACAACATAAGGTACTGTCTCTAAAGGTCCAGAAATGTGCCTTTCTAGATATTTACAGACAGTTTTACATTGTTAAGCCTAAAATAGCATCTAAATAAATTAAACCAGGATCCATAAGATATCAAACAGAAAATTTGATTAGATGTTATTAAAAAAGTTGTTCCCGAAAGTTGCATTTATCAAAGCATCAGTTGATTTACTGCTGTGGAACCCCGTCATGCTCTGTATTTTGGTATATCATGCTCTGTTGTCCCCTATTGTTTTTTGTTTCCATGTTTCTTTATGACCAGTGACAAACTTTTGATGTATTTCCTTCCCTGCTGCCATTGGAAAACACCTCTTTATTTTAACTACTCACTGGTAGTGATTTATTGTGAGTAAAAAATTGGGTGTCCCATTACCCAGAGTGCAGTGTGTTTTATATTGTTCCTCTTTAGCCAATAGTAGAGTATATTGTATCAATGTTGCATGTAACAGTGTAGCTTCTGCATCCCTCTCCTCGCCTCTCATTTCTTACTCTGTGCTCAGATCAGACCAAACCATATGAGCATAAATCAGACCTAAAACCAGCATCAGAACTTCCACCCTTTCTGACATACAGATTAGAAGGAGATAAGATATTAAAAGTGATCTAATTGGTTGTGAATTATAACTTTTGCAGTTTGTGGTTACCATTTAAGACTCTAGCTAATCCAATATTTTTGGTGTAGAAGTAAATATGTTGAGGGTCTTTTATCATAATTCTCCAATAAAGTAATGAAAAACCAAGACGTCCAGACGCTGAAGTTAATCTACGTTCTGTCACAGGAACATTTGTGCGGCTTTGCTTTTTCTCCTTTTTTCCCAGAGAGCAGAAATTGTCCTTGTGGGAAGTTTCTTTAAATCCTAACAAGTGAAGTTGCCAAAACACAATCAAAACAATCCGGTCTCCCTCTTGTCCCATTTTTTCTGTGATCTCAGCCCCCATTTTTCCTAAACTCTGGCTGAAGATCATTTCTACCTTCAGAGTTGAAGTGCCACTCTGCAGGAGTGTTGTGCATTTCAAATCTGGACAGCCATTGGGCCCTTTACATTTTCAACTTGCTGCTTTGGGTGTGCGTCCATTAGAAATATGCAGAAACAACAAGTGTTGTAGCATTCATTTCCCACTAGATGGCAGTACTCTAGCAGTCATGTGCAAAAAATAAATGCAAATATGTAAACAGGTTGTGAACTCAATTCCCCGGAAAGCTGTTCAGCAAAATTTCAAGGATTGTTTTGTGAATTTATCAAATTAAAGTTATCAAACATTTAACAGTCCTTATAGATTAAACCACTTCTAATTTGTTGTCATTGGCACTCTTTGATTATTTGTGTTAGATCATACAAGTGCTGCTAAAAAATTTGAGCCAGATGTATAATTTTCCTTAAATTTTGCTGAAAAAAAAATGACAACAAAGCTTTTGGAGGAAATTTTTACATCAGAACACTGCTCTCCTAGGGACATCCTTTGTATTCAACATAAGCTCCCCGATTGCCTCTGTTTGAGTGTGCTGTCCTCTAGTGAGTTATAGGGGGAGGAACTTATCAAACACCCATGCAGACAGTTTATCAGGGTAGCTGTTATGTTGAATCATCAGTCAGTGATACCCTAAAATGAACAGCCCATAATCCTCGACCATAATCTGGTTATCTGTAAAGTCAGAAGTGAAGGACATTGTCAGAGTGTGTGTTAATTAGTTTGGGTGTGTGTGTGTGTGTCTTTTGTGCCTCATCGTTTCCTTTCCATTTAAAAAAAAAACAAACCAATAAAACAAACCCCCTCATTGTTACTTATATATGCTGTGTACCAAGTGGCCATGCAAAAACACAGACTTTAAGGGATGTCAGCATGACATTAGAGCCTCACTGCACCTGCCCATGCCTTCCCAAAAACCGGTTCATCACTGTGAACAGTCATCTCCACTACCTGTTAATGACAACAAAACTGCACTTTTTGCATGCTGTACTTATGCTCATGAAGCATACATGCATGCTGCTAGATAAAACAGTCCCTGACACCTTCTGGCAGGTAATTTAGACCTATTACTTCATTCAAGATCTGCTTTTCTAATCTGATTCATGGACTGTATTACTGCACTGTCAGTTTGCAGCCTTTCTTTTGAGACAATGGGGATCAGGGACTGTTTCTGTCCAGAGTCACAGACATCTAGAGATGTGATCTGGAGATTTTCACTCCTGCTCCCCCTTGGGTTCAAGGTTTCACTCAATACAGACATATACGTACATATATCTGTCTGACTGGTCATGAATGTGTCCCAGGCATTCTAATCTTGCTTTTAAATCGATCTGACCAAAGCAAATGAAAGGACGTTCTCAATATGCCTGGGAAGTTGGATTTCTTATTAGTAAAGAAGTTGAAGTTAGCCCATTTTAGTAGGAAATGATAAAACCAAATGGTTGGCTCTAAGTACTATTATAAGTAAGTCACCATCAAATAATTTCTATAATATTTGTTAGACACAGACAGGACTTTTTTAAAAGTAAACATTGAACATGATTGTATATGCTATTGGTTTGATTGGAAAAAGATGGTCAAACTATCAATAAAGCTTCTTTCTGGCAATTTTCAATACGATTAAATGTACCTTATCTGATTCATAGTGAGTCATAGATTTCTGACTTTCTACTTCAGGGGATATTTTATAAAGGTCCCCTGAGTTGGAACTCTACAGTTTTGCTTCAGAGTAGAATTAAAGTGGGCCATAAGTTTCCAAAAAGATAAATCAAATTCAATAGATAACAATAAAAGAATAATTCTGGGAAGATGATATTACAGTCAAAATGTTTTAATATTTACTAAATTATTGTTACTTTTTCAAGACGCTGCAAGAGTTAAAGGTGATTAAAAGTTCTGTTAAAAACAAGAGATGCACTAATTATAGTTTTTTCACTGATTTAAAATTGTTCTTTGTTTGCCAAATAACAATTTTATCACTATATTAAGACATGAAAAAATTGGCCTTCTGGTTGATAGCAGACATTTGTATTGGAGAGGCGATGTCAAACTATGCATGACCGTATAGTTCCTATAAAACACTGTTTAAAAAAAAATAAAAAATGAAAACTTAAAGAATGTAGCCTTTTTTTCAGCTACCATGGTTTGCACAGCTAGCCTTGCTAAATCACCAGTTTCCCGTTTTCGGGGAATGTGGAAATACCTCTGATTATATGTTTTCCTTATTCCCCGCAACCCCAATCAGAGTTAGAGAGACCATATGGATAAAAGTGAATAATTCCTCATCTTTTCTCATTTCGCAATGACTCATTACAATATCTGCTCAAAGATAGTTTCGTTTTATATCCTTTACTCTGTTCTAATTTTTTAACATTCTTCCTGAAATGAAAATGGCTAACTAAAAGTTGTTATACAGCAACACGTTCTTCACTGGAGAGTGTTGTTATGAGTGCTGGAGTATGTGGCAATGCTAGAATATGGTGAATTCACTGGTCAGGCCCTGAAATCTTCAGGTTAGAGCAGATTTTCTTAGTGCATCTCCAGTCATAGTTAATATTATAAATAACACAATCAATCCCTTGATTGTTTTAACACATAGAGCTAAAGTTTGCTTGAAATTAATTTAAATAGTTAACAGAGCATCAAAGCATTAAGATAAAGACAACCACTTTAACTGATCACTTTTATTTTCTGTTATCTTTGACTTCTATCAGTGTTTTAAAAAAAATAGGACATTGAACCCCTTCAGAATCAATCCAGTCTCATAGTAACCCTACAGAAAATCTTTCAAAGTTTATGAAATACTTTTGCCTTAAACCAACATTTACATCAGACCAAAAGACCCTTTGGGGAGTGGAGCAGTGAAAGTGCAGTTTTTGGAAAGAGCACAAACTGGCCAGTCTTGCTAAGTAGGGTAGTGTGATGCCGTGGACAGAGCCTCCAGCTGCATGATGGATACAGGTACGTGATCCGTTCCTGAAGGCAAACAGATATACTTGGAAGAATGTACGTATGAGGTTTGCTGCTGAAAATATTGCTCATGCCTCTTTTCATGAATGCCTCCATCCTTATCTTGTCCCTCTGTCCCTCTTCCCCACAGTTACAGTTTTTGAACCTGTTTCAGCCTTAGCACACAGCTTGACCTCTTTAAAAACATGGAACTTTGCAAAAGCCTTACAATTCTTACATTATAAAGCATTTCTAAAATGCAGCAGGTAAATAAAATTTGACTGTTGAATTTGTAAATTTGTGATTGACCATGTTTTCATGTTAATTGGGGCTCAAGTCTGTGGAGCAGGTGGCTAAGGCTTGCACTTTCTGACGAAGTTACCTTCCAACTTCCCCTCAAATGAATATTTCTCCTTTTGCCATTAACCTGCTGCTTTTCCTCTCCTCTCATCCCAAAACATGACTGTAGCCAAGATGTCCGTCTACAAACGAATGAAACTGGCATGTTGTTTTGATTGCGGCCGTTCAGAGCGAGACTGCTCTTGCATGTCAGGCAGTGTACATAGTAACATGGACACCCTTCAGAGGGCCTACCCACTTTCCTCTGTCTCTGTTCATGATTGCGCAACCACTTTACGTGCCTGTAAGTTACACCGCCCAACACATGCTGTTACATGTCTGTGATGTGTAGTCTGTTTTCTTTTTTATTCCCTCATCCGGCGGTACTGTACCTGTCAGTGTGTGTCCGTATGTCGTCTATGTGGCGTGACTCGTATCTTGTGACACCATAGTTGGAGCTGTGGCTGATGTGAATTTTTATGAATATATCTTATTGAGCTATTTGTGTTCTATATAGCTGCGTAGTATTTCAAATGATAATTCAGAGTGAATATAATGTTATAATGTAAGTGGTGGTGTGGCTCTGTGGTGCTACTGTACAGTATTGTAGGTGTTAGACACGTGGCTACCGCATGCTGCATCAGTCATGCAGTTGTGTGAAAATGTCACCTTTCAAGTGTGATGTTAAATGTTTTTTTAACTGTTCAAGGTAAGAGATCTGTACAGACATCAATGCTGTAATTGTTTACTTTAAATATTTGCACACTTGTTTGTGAGTTTTTAATCTTAGATTTGTGAACTTTTTGGTTAATCGTTTTTTTTTTGTGATTATATTTTTTCGTATCTTTGATTGCATTTTCAGCTGCACAGTTTGAGACTTAAGAAAAGAGAAAAGGAAAAAATAAGTTAAAGGGCAGACATTTTAATTGAGACACTTATCCAGGAATGTTAGAGGTAGTAGGTTCACATAGGTTCACAGTACGCTTTTTTTAAAAGTCTTTTTTTTTTTTTTTTGCTTGATGCTATATAGATTTTTTTTTTTGCATTTACAAGTTTTAGACATTTTAAAAGTGCAAAGCCCACTGAAGAAACTTCTTTCCTCCCACACATGATGCTGCTCCTGAACTCCTTAAAGGCCTTGTTAACGGTTCTATTCCTCTGTTCCTATGTTTACCAAATTATATTCCTTGCCTTATGGCTTTTTTGGCACGTCTCAAAACACAAGCAGAAGTCTTACTTTTGACCAGTAAGTTGACTAATTAAAGCAGACCTGAGTACTTAACCAACTCTTCCAAAGTTGAGCATTTCAGACAAAAAGCAAAAGTTTTTTTCTCAGAAACTTTTATACCTTTTACTTTAGAAATGTTTGTATGTTACACGTATATATTTCTATCTCCTATTTGTTTTATGACAGAATTTTAGTGTACTAGAAATGGCACTTTCATCCTGTATTCTAAGAGCTTTTTGTAGTTTGCTTGTTTATATTTCTTATTGGATCAAAATCAGAACTCTTCACAGCAGGACTAAATAATGTTACAGTGAAAAAAAAAATGAATTTAGATGGTATAAAATGAGGTTTTTAGTGGAAGGAAAGAAGAAAGCAGAAGCAAACAATAAGTGAAAAGTGATGTTGGTTTCATTGAGGAAAGGTGAGAGGATTCCGGCTCCCGGATGATCTCTTCTTTTCTCTTTTCTTTGTTAGTGGATGGGGAAATACTAAATTGTCTGTCAATTAGACATGGCAGCAGTAAGCCTCACTATCAAAGCCTTGGTCTCAGATATACATATCTGATTTCCTTTTCAACATTCTCCTATCGTCTGCTGACTCAGCCTAGATTAATGTCAAACACTGCATGATGAGTTTGGCTTGGCCTCTTGTAGTTGAGCCTGCGCTTATATCCCTCGGTACCAATTACTGGCCATTACATGGTTACTGATCTCACTTTTCTTTCAACCCCCTGTAGGATTTAAGGAAAGCCTCCACTGTCTTAGATTTCTTTTGCTTTTTAAATCTGAATGAACAAAGAGTTTAGTGATGCAGAGTACTGGGGTTTGTCAGGCAGGAATGGTCGGTTTTCCTTTTCCGATCAAATGGTGAAGAGAAAAAAAAGGAAAATTTTAAATCTTACCCAAAATTCTGGCTTGTTTTTACTATATTGTCTCATCAAAACTTAGACAACAGGTTTGCTAAGACATCTCTTTTAAATCACTATATTTTTTGTAGATTTGCTCAGTTGTATGAGTTGTTCTTTGTCTTTTAATCTGAAAAGCAGGGACAAAACATTACATAACATAAAGACTGACAGCAGAGTAAATATGTTGAATTCAAAGGATTTTTTTTTTTAGATCAGGTTAGTTGATTGCCCTCCTTTTGGTTTGTTTATTTTCATTAAAAACCTTTTTTTTGTGAAATAGTGTTTGCTGAAATACCCATTTGAGTGGAGAAAAGTACTTGAAAAGTCAAAACAATGTGCTGCATTTCAGGTATTTTAAGGGTAGTTGCAGTTTTAAAGAGTTACCCAACTTTTGTCTTAATGTTTGTCTCTTAATTGTTTACTCATTGTTTCGGCTTGTAAAAAGATCATCATCACATCAAACAATCTCCTTTCAAGGAGTTTCACCAGAGATTGCTTTGATAAAGGGAGATCTCTGTAGCAGAGTGGTGGACTATGGGCTAAAATGATGCTTTTAGGCCTTCCTACAGCCTCTAGGGCCACGTAGAATCACACAGTCACTAGCACATTCACTTTTATCTTTGTGTCTATGCATATGTGAATCTACATCTCATTTCAAAGGATTTTTATCTGTTTTGACACAGAAATTATGTTTGCATTTTCATTTTCCCAGCCTTGCTCGTTTGTCGCCAAACTTGCCTTGACAGCTCCTGTCCACCAGGCAGGCTTGCCCCCTCACAAGCCTTCATCCTATGTTTGTGTAGTACGCCCCAGATGCTAGCCAGTTAGTCTGTCGCCTTTGTGGTGCGGGCAGATTGTGGGAGACAGATGCCAGGGCCACTGTAGGTCCCTGCTTTGAGGATCTGTGTCACAGGCCAGCCCTGGGCCTTCACTGTGACCTTTATTGCTGGAGGATATGTTGGGGAAAAGGAACAGGGAATTTTAGCAGCTATGAGATCAGTTCAAGCGCCCACTGCATTAGCAGCTATGGAAGTACCAGTCTTTATTATCTTGTTGGTCAAGGTCAAAAGCTTTAATTCCTGCTGAATTAACGACACAGACATAAACACAGACCTTGGATCATCCTTTTGAAAATTCAAAGTGCAACATTAAATCCACATTTGGAAAGGTCCCAGTTTTGAAAATCTCTGTTTGTGCCAACCGTCTGGACTGCACATGTGCAGGAATCCGTCAGTTTTGGTGTAGCACTGTATGCTCCATCTGCTACAGTATGCTTGCCTATAAGTGCCTTTGTTTGTCTTAAAAAATAACCACAATAGCAGTGTAATTTAAATAAATACAACAGAAGATTATTTTTTTTACAAATAAAATATTAAAACCTTATATTTCTTAACAAATTCTAATTTACCATTTCACTTTCATTTCATCTTTATACAAATTTATCACACTTTCCTAATGATATGGCTTAACATTAAATGAATGTACAGTTTATTTTGTTTTTCCATCATCCCTCGGTCTAATCAACTGCACCATCAGAATTCTGCCATTATTCTCTATCTTCCTATTATTTTTAGTTTTGCCTCCTCCCCATAAATCCAAACACATCAAACTTCCCTCTGGTTTAAACCTTTCCACCACTCTTTCGTTGATGTGTCCCTCTGTGTGACCTGCTACTTGTCTTTGCAGTCTCCTCAGCTAAATATAAGTATAATGGATTTGTCAGATCACGTAAGTGTGCTCTCTGCCCTTCTCCACTCTGCTTTAGCTTTGTGTTTAGACTGTAGCCACCCTCGTCATGTCAAATCGTGTTTTGCTTTGTTGTCCCACAGTCATTTAAAATGTAATTATGTTGTCTTTGTTATACAAGAAGCCAAACTGTAAACATAAGCCAAATTAAAGTGTCATGTTTAATATTTATTAAAACTGATAACAAAGCAATGACAATATTTTATTGAAGTATATATTTAAAATAACATAATGCATTCCTGGTGTTTATAGATCATAAATATATATATTTTGTGTTTTTTTGACATGGCATGGAATATAGTTCCATGAAAAAATCTTTTTTTATTATTCTATTTTGTATTGTGCTGCATGTAGCAGCAGATGGCGCTACAACACCACGGAACAGTGGAAGCCAAAAAGAGTCTGGGGTTCGATTCAAAGCTGATTGCAATCTAGGTAAATCTGTAGTTTAAAGCTGCTAAGTAAATTACTTTTCATTGTACTGGGTAAGAATATATTTTTCTCAAAGCGTAGTATTTATTTTTATTTTACTTTTTATTGTTTGTTTATTTATTAGGTAATATTTATATTTAAAACATTGTTGAGTTTCTTTGAAAAAAAAAATTGTGGCTGTATTTGAAGCAGATCTAAGAGAAATTGCAGCCGTATGGGTTTTGTTTAAAACTGTATTACACAAAATTGCATGGCTTAAATAGCAATCCTCATGCTGTGGCAATGCAGTAAAAAAACAAAGCTTGGTCATGCAGCTAACACTCAAAGCAAAGCCAGCTTAGTTCACATATAACAGTAAAATTTTTTACTGATATGCCCCCTTCCTCATCATCCAGTTTACATTGGGACACAGCGATCTGATAAGGTTTGCATGCAGGACAGTACCATCATGAGATTAGCATTTCAAGAAGGGACAGTTGCCGTCTGGGTTGTTCAGGATGCACAGTGGACCTGCCAGGTCGCCTGAGCGCCGTGTAACGCTGCACGTGTTTGACAAGGGCCAGATGAATCCAGGAGCTATCGGTGGCGCCCTGTAAATCAAGGCGGCAGCTGACGGCTGGGATAAACGTCTGTTTATTGCCCGGGGTCACCCAAGCATGCTCTTTCATCCAAACAACCAACCATCCAACCATCTTTTTGTACCACAGAGGATAAGGGCTTTGCCTTCCCAGTCAACTCTGCAAGCAACTCTTTTACTTGTATTCCTGCTTTGTCCACGACCCCTTCTGTACGTGCAAATGTAAAGGTTGAGGCAAATGGCAGAGTAGATAATGTGCATGCGAGCGTTTGTGTTAGGAGATATTGCTGAATGAATATTCTGAGATATACCAAATATATTTTATCATTAAAAGTACTACAATTTGTCACCGGACATGCTGCAGAATTATAAACACACATACTGTTTGAGAATAGAACAAAGAATTTTTTTGTTTGAAATTAATCTTTATACATAATCCAAAAGGAAAGCAATAAATGTTTAATGGCTAAAAGGTTTTGCATTAGTAATATTTATAAATTATTAGTTACAGTTTCGTATTTCTCGAAATGAAAGCACTGTTTTACACATTATGCTTGAAATGACAATGCCTGATTAGATTTGACTGGATTGAGCCCGAGCCGTGTCTCTGCTTTGTGTTAGCAGAACCAGAAGCACAAATGAGAAGCAGAACCGAGAAGCTTCTAATTAATTCATGTTTGCCACTAAATGCAAAGTAAATGTCACTGGAAACATTTCTGTTAGTTTCAAATCTAGCTGCAGGAAATAAAAAAAATGTGATCTCTGCTTTTTACTTATGCTTCATTTAGTTGTAACTAAAATAAGTAAAGCGCAGACTTTGATTGATGTAACTTATTTCGAAAAAAATATTTTTATCATATTTTAACAGTTAAAATCATTATTTACAAAATTCTGATCGTTACAGATTAACACAGGCTTTCTCAATGTATATTCCAGTATTTGACAGCAATGGTTAGACTTAAACTATACAATCAGATCATTAAAATTAAAAGATTCATTTCTACCTCCCACGCTGTAAGTCCATTTTCACTTAATACCTTAATGCTGTCTTACCCCAACCTGGACCTTTTAGTCTACTGGGAGATAGCATTCATCCCCCTCACTAAGTACTACAAAGGATGCTTACTCCCCACGCTGCAGTAGTCCTACACTGACCCCCCCTTTAGTATCTAGGGTCCAGGAGACAAGATTACCAGAAGCTGACCCAAGCCCTGCAATCTGATGGGGAAATATTGCTTCCAACCCACCAATACCATGCTGCTCAGTTAAATTTGGCACTATCGGTGATTCCCCCTTCAGCAGGATGTAACTTTCAATAACTCCACCTGTCCCGTTCTGTTTTTTGTTTGCTGCATGATGGTTCACTATGTTGCCAATGCAGCTGTTGTTGCCGGTGCTGTTTTGCACAGATTTGCCTGCCAGCACAGTGGCTCAGAAGGTTTAACTACTGTAGAAGGCTTCCATAATAGTAAATAAATAACTTTAAATAACCACAAATTATTTTTAAAATTTATTTTATAAGTGTTTTAGGCATAGTAATCTTTAAACATGTAGATCTTTTTATAATTTTATGTCAGGAAAATGCTAAGTATTTGTGCATAGGTGGAAAATATTGCTTCAAATTTTTATGAACCACAAAAAAGGTGCTATTTTTTTTTTATTTAAAATAAAATAACATAAAAGAGGGGAAATTATGGGGGAAAGGGTCTATTTTATGTAATGCATTATATTTAATGTTAAAGAATTATTTGTAAAGAGGATCAACAAATTTTGTTAGATATTCTGGAAGCCCAGTTGCATAAATAAAATGCCAGAGAGTGACGTGTTTATTAGAATCAAAGTCATAGCTGTTTTCTTTTATTAGAAGAATTAAGTTATTCACAAGATTGCACGTTCAAATAACAATGAAAATCTACATGCTCGGAATCGCTGCCGCTTGCAGCGTGCACATTGATTTGTGCTAATATCATGCTGTGTTATTGATTTCTAACCAAAGGACCGATGGGGGTTTGAAGTGATGGTGCACTTGGCATTTGTGCTTGAATAGCGTAGATTGGAAAGGAGTATCTGGGTGCTTGTCTGAGAGCTCTTGGAAACCACGAGGCGTCAGTAGTGAAGATCAGACTGCAGTTATTGTGACTGAAATCTTCAGTCCTGGCCACACTCTGGCTCTGAGACCCAAGAAGCGTAGGAAAAAAAATGTTTTTTTCAACAAAACGAAACATTTGACAAGAAACTAAGAGAAAGAAAAGACTGCGGAACAGTGTCCTGCCAAAGTGTCAAAGCTTTATACACAGATATCGAATCCTAACAGAAATCATTTCATCTTTTTAAAATATGTAACACAGCTCATGACTTTCTTATACTTATCAATGGTGTGCATTTACAAGCTGCTTTTAGAATTTATAGCCCACTAATCCATAGCTTCTTAATATTCTCTCACCTATGAGCTGAATGCTAATTGATATTTAGACGTAGAAGTAAATCTGGGCAGATGCAGTTGAGCTGTGTAGAAGGAGCTGAAAAAAGTGTTTCGAAAAGAGAATAAATATGATATATTAAGGGATTCGTCTTCATAACATATTAATCTCATTGTTGATGCTTATGCCCATATTCTGTTGTTGATGATAGTTTGGACGTTTTTGTAGCATTACTGTTATTGCCTTCGCAAAGTAAGAAGGTTTTTAATTTTTTATCATACTACAAACCTGAATACACTTTAACATTATTTTATGTGATACACCAACATGCAGTAGGGCCTGTTTGCAAAAGTTAAAGAAAAAGGGGCATTTTTAAAATGTTTTGTGTGGAATGTGTGGAATGGAATTAAAATATGTACAACCTCCTGCGTTGCCACCAAATAAAAATCAAGTGTAGCCAACTGCCTTTATAGGTGACCTAAATAGTCTGATTAGTAGTAAAGTCCGTCTATGTGACTTTGAATCTCTAAAAGTGCAGCTGTTCTGTTACGGTCTTAGAGGTTCGTTAGAAAACACAGGACAGGAAGAAAGTTATGAAAAGGTTTATAACAAGATTTACTCAGAAATCAGTACTTTGAGCTTTAAAAAAGCTCAAAACGTTTTATTCAATCTTTTATTTGAATTTGAAAGATTGTCTCACAAATGCAAACTTAACAATATGCAGGGGTTTAATATAGTTGTAAATGAAAAATGTATTAGAGAAACAGTAAAGCGGCCAATGGGAAGTAGTTGTACCAGTTGTCGTATGTCAAGAGGACCTTTGTGGAAGAGGGACAGTGTGCACCGGGCCTACACGGTAGAAGGTATTCTAGTTCAGTATAGTTTAAAATAAAACCAAACCCTTTGGCTTATATGTAAAGATCTATTTGCTGCTTAAAAAAAAGTAACAGTGTACATCAACTTAAACGAACCATCACCTAAGTAAAGCATGGACGTGGCATGGCAGCATCATGCTGTGGGAATACTTTTTCTTTATCTGTGATGACAGAGCTTAAAAAAACATTCATCTTTTTTATTTCTACCTCTTAGTTATGCACTACTCGCTGTTGGTTTATCCTACAGTATAGAGCAGAATACAATGAAAAGTTGTGGTTGTAAGGTAATATATTTAGCCAAGAATTGTATATAAAGTGGTTTAAGTCCACCTTGACAGAAATTAGCTTTTTACTACTAACATGCATATCAATCAAATACACCTAGATAGTAACACATACAGTATAAGCGTATTTATTGATATTTTCATTAACATTTTTTAGCTTTTTTCATAGTATCGCATTACTTTGATTAGTTTTATCTTGCTATGTTACTAATCCTTGTTCTTCTACACATCTTACATTTGAGACTAAATCCTTAAGTTTCCTTTTCTTCTGTTTCAATTTTTATTTTAATGATATTTTATTTCAATATTTTGTTTTGTTTGCAGTTACTGATTGATAGCTGGCTACTGTTTTCATGTCAGGTCCATCACACATTTTCTCAGCAGCCTGTCTCTGTTCTGAAACTCTTCCCGTGTATTTGCAGTTGAGGACGAGCATCCTTCGACTCTCTCACCCAAAAAAAAGCAGCGCAATGGGGGGATGCGAAACTCACCCAACTGCTCACCCAAAATGATGAGGTAAGAGACAGCGATCTTATTCTCCTTGCAGCCTTCAAGCTGAAAGTGGGAGGGAGGAAGGATAGATGGACTGAAACAAAGAAGGTGGGGGAGATGTGTGTCTGAGAGAGATGCTGCTGTTGGTGGGAGTTTGGATGGGTGGGATGGGGCAAATTAAGACTGGCAGAAGAGAGAGGTAAGAAACTGAGAAAAAGGAAGAAAGAGAGGAGAAATGCCCTGTTAAGTTCTGACTGTTTCGGGTGGCATGCTGTCAGCTGTTAATGACAGAGCTGAAATAATATTTCTGTCACGAAAAGCAGCTGTGAGAAGCCGTTTGAAAACTCCTCTGGCTTTAAAGTCCCAGCTGTCACCTCCTCCAGTCCGGTCCGCATGTACTACTTAAACAATGCTGGCACTAATGACACCATCATCCAATCAGAGGGACTTGCATGGTTACTTTGCCCTCAGGCTACTGCTCTATTGTGGGAACCCCTGCGAGTACTGTATCTGGTACTTAAGGCCATATGCAAGATGTATCCTTGCAATCAAATATGAATTCAGATATTACCTTCCTTTTATCCTGTCCTGTGGAATTAAATTGCTGTTAATTGATTTTGAAAGATAAAAGGGGCAGTGTTTTTTATTTTTTTATTTTGTGCACCTCTGAGAGGCTCTTTTAGACACACGGCAGAGAGCCCTAGCCTGCCCTGATACACACTTTTTTAAATGAACTTAACCAGTTCATTATTCAATTAATTTCCACATTTATTTGGGTAGATGACAATCAACATAATACTGAATAGGAAATAATTAGGTTTAAAAAAAACCCCAAAAAAAACAAAAAAAAAAAATTCAAATCAATTATTCAATTGTTAATTTTTTTCAGTTAAATTTAACCCTTTTTTTTTTTAGATTGGATCACCTGAAAGATGTTTGTTTATTATGCATTTATAAATAAATATAAGTAGGGTAGCTACAAATTGAGATCTTTATTACACTGCTTATAATTTCTGTATCCATAATAATTTTCAATAAAATACATTTTAAACCTACCAGAACAGATTACTACCAAACACACTGTTTTATGACGGTATTCAGCAGTATGCATAAACATGTTTTATTGCTGTCCGGTCATCCTTAGCAGTGTATTCATGGTAGAGATGCTCCGTTAAAACAAAAAGTAGGAACTGCTTTTGAAATTTGTGTAAGTTGGATTTAAAGTTTTGTAATTTTGGTAGCATGCAGCTGGCAGGCAGAGTTAAGACATTTGTTTAATCAAAAAGACTGTCTAAGCTTTGTTTGCTTTTAAAAAAATAATAATCGACAGAATTTTGAAATTTCCTTTGACCAACCACTCAAGAACACATTTAATTTCTGCCTGTGCTGAAAAAAAAGGCGGAGACAACCTAGAAATTGAGTGCTCTGCAAATGTAAAGTGGCTACAGATTAGTTCTTACCATGCAAATACACATCTTGCCACTTAACTTCAATGATGTGGCAAGTTGACATTAGTCACACATACGCAGACAGGTCGGTTCCCCTCTATTAGAATGATATATTCGTAAACAAGAGTTTACATATACACTGATCGGATTAACAATGTGAATAAACCACTGCTCTGACTTGCTGTGTTTATATAAATGTAGTATTCAGAATAAGGAGTAAAAATTAATTCTGTGAACAAACCAGTTGGAATATTGAGATCGGATTAAGTTAAAATTAGAATGAAATTCCAGCTGATCAGCGTCCATCTAAAAACTTGATCATTTGGATTGCTACAATCTAACCTGTCTGCACTTGGATGTGAAGGATGAGCGGTACTGGGCTGCACCAAACTTTGAATGATGTTAATTTCATTCCACTCTCTCATTCTGTAATGCTGGAAAAAAAACAGCTGAATTTCTGAGCCCCTGGCATCAATTTGGAAAGCAAAAACGCCTCAACTGCTGTCAGAACTTGGTGACAGTTCATTCTGGGCATGCAGAGCGGTAAAAACCACCACACCCTTAGCTTTGGTTGCTTTTTTCCGCATTGGCAGAAGTACAAAAGTTATGCGGTTGTTTTAGGTAAATAATGACTGCATGTACTTTTACTATGAAAAAAACTTAATGCGAGTGCATGTCATGGTTAAATTTATTTAATTTTATTCCCATATAAACATCGTACTTAGATTATTATTATTTTTATCTAATCAGATGTAAATTCGATTAAAGATCGTGGGACATGAAAATTGCTGCTGTATTCTAATTCAGAAGACAATTGCGTTCAGATTGAGCAAACGCTAGTCAGAATAAACTTATCAGTGCATTTAAATGATGCATTGTGTTCAGCCCTTTGTTCAGAGTACTAATGTCAATGCATTACCTGATACAGTTTAGTAGCTGTCTGTTAGTAGCTGTCTAACGTCTTAGCAACTTTAAGTTTAGCACTAGTTAGTTAATAAAACTAGATCCTTGATCCCAAGTTTCTTAAAGGTCCTTTATTTTTAATTTTGATTATCATTAGTTTATCATGCCTTTCAAGCTTTTTAACATCACGTATAGGCAAATACAGAATTAAATAATGCCTTGGATATTATTTCTTTATGGAATAGAGTTCTACCACCTCTGTAGGCTGGACAAAGTCTGAGATCTGATTTTCACAACTATAACAATAGTTAAAGATAGCTTGCAGCTCTGTGCAGATTAGTTACTCAAGGAGCGATTTCATCTCAACTTTGAGCCAGAATCGTCCCGCTCTTCCTCACATCAACCCCCGCTGATTGGAGAAAGTGTTTATAGTGCAGGCACAGCTTGGTTAAGGTAGCAGCTTCCCTGAGGTGACACTCTTATGTACTTATTCTCCAACCACTCGTTTTCAAATGGAGGGTGACTCAATGAAATACCACAACATGCACGATTTTTATGAATGTCATTACAAAAAAAAGGTTGAAAAATTTTGATTTTAAGCAAGTATAACCATTACTATACCTGAAAATATACTTCACCTACAAAATGTATAGAAAAGTATGAGCCTTAGCTCCTGCTCTTCATATAAATAAATAAAAGTAGAAAGATTTCAGGAAAATTGTAATAAAATCTTTTAGGTTGTTAAACAGTTCTATTGTTAGAATTTCAGGATTGTTAAATATCAAATATGTGCATATTTTAATCTTGGATTAAAATTTTAACGGTTTTACTGCCTTACGTTGATCACCTTCAAATTTTACTCTGCTAGTGTGACACAAGAGTAAAGTAAATGGTATGAAGTTTTATTTAGCTTTTTATTGGCTTTTTCCCCTCATTATAGTATTTTCAATCTCATATTTCTGATTTTTCTTTAAACATTTCTTTAGACTGCTGTCATGTTCATTGTTTATGCTGAAAATCCATTTGGATGATGAATTTTTGTAATCATTTGTAATCATTCGAGAAAAAGACCTAATTTAGTATTAAAACATATTATAATCCCATAAAATCTAAAGCTAAATGTAAATTCTTCCTTCTCCATTTTGTCCACAGATGCCTTATTGTTCTGTATTTTTTTCATATTCTTGCATTAGCTCTTTGTATGCTTGTTTTTGCTGTGCTCCCTTAGGCAGCGATCTTTTCTCTGCACTTTTGTGCCTGTGTGATTTTGTCCGGCATATTTGCCTGCATGCCTCCCCCTCAGTTTGCCACAAAACAAGAACTTAATAAGCCTTTACACTTGCCAAACCATTAGCTCGACATAGAGTCATACCCCTCAGTCTAGTTTGCAACAAAGTACCATTTTAGGATGCCCTTGCTCAGAGGGGGGAAAAAAAGAAGAAAAAGGAAAACACAAAAACAAGACACTGGCACATTTCCAGCTAACTGCTTGTTTAAAAGACTGTTTAGTTTGCCTAACTTAAAGTACAAAACCTTTTCTTCTTATCCTTCTCTGCTTAAGAGAAGGTCCCTGTTTGCCATGTAATATATGCATCTCTGCTTTGATCTCACAGTGATAATAATCTTTGCGAGTTATTTACTCAGTTTCCAAAACACTTCAAAGTGGTGTCAAAGTTTTCTCTGCTTTAGGGAGGTTTCTGTATACTGCTGGCTCTTGGGTAATGGCATGACAGGTCCTCTGTTATAGGTGTAGATTTTCTTTTCCTAGACTTTGCCCGTAGCAGAACATCACATTATCCATCGTATTCCACCCTCGCTGTTAACATATAACCACATATATATTAAACAGATTAACTTAACGAGGTGGATTTAAATGCACCGTCAAGAGTGATCGCTCCAGGGAAACTTTATTCAACAATCAAGGCGAGGGGAAAACACAATAGAGCGCTAGCAAGAGAGCCAACATACGTATCAAGTATTTTTTTTTTTTTTTTACACTGCCTGAAGGTCTTTGTAAATAAATAATGATCAACAGATTGGCTGTGGGCTTTTGAAAAGTATGCCTTTGTCAGTTTGCATGATGGGGAAAATTTTCAAAGCGAGATGCTGCCTTCCTAGTTTGGCAGGGAGGGATTGGGGGAGCACGCCCATCCCCAGCCTGTGACTGCAGACTGATGCACTGGAATAACTCAACTCTGTTTGAAATGTATACAGTGGGAACGAGTTGGAAAGAAAGGGAGAGAGGGGCATGAGGTACTGCAGGGAGAATTGATATAAGGGAGTTGCTGCCCGTGCTCCTTAAAAGTGCCATTCAAAAATATTAAAGGTTCCTTCACTGTCTGCAAAAGCCTGGAAAGGTTTGAAATTTAGTTTGAGTGTTTTCAAGACGTTGATACCTTTTAAAAATGTCACTCATGATTCTGTATGATGAAATTAAATGTACTTTTTATTCTACTGTATGGAAATATAGAAAATATCATTTTTTGGGTCAATAAAATACCTATCCGTCTGTCCATCCATGCACACAGACACACATACATTAATACATACATGCATTCTGTCCATCCGTTTAACCATCTGTTGTTGCAGTTGAGTATCTAAAGACGGGCTTTAATAAAAATTTCTGCAGGAAATTCATAATTAACTTTTGTCATTTGAATGTAAAAACTGTTTAAAATGAATAAGGAACAATGCTAATTTCCCTCTAGAAAAATGTGAAGTTTGGTCATGGATGTAGGTAGAAGCCTGATTTCAGTATGAAAATTGAAACTAATATGTACTTTTTTATTTTCAAATGAGTTGTGCTTTTTGAAAAACACAATGTTGTATATTCTCATATAATACATTTTATCATGGTTTTAACACCTTTAAACATTTGAAATGGGACATGACTGACAACATCCACTATCAGAGGATATAACTGGCTCCTCCGCTGCTGATATCCCTTGGGCGTGGCCCTGTAGCACAGACATGGTGTCTGCTCTCCCAGAGCCTTGTGGTAGGTTCAGCCTGAGGCATGGAGAAAGAAGAGGAAGGAGGAGGAGGAGGAGGTGCACAGAGTCTGTGACAGACTGCCAGTCACACTGCTGACAGCTCTGTGAAAGATAGCTGTCTTGGCAGAGAGAGGTGGAGCGGCAGCCCGCCAGTCAGCTCCTGTGTGGAGGCGAGCTGAGCTAAGCAGATTGAAGTGACGAAGGGAAAGGTAGGGGGGGCTCGATGAAGTTGATTGGCGCAACACGGAGCTCTGGATGAAAGATTCAGGCTGAGTGTAAAAACACTAAATGCTGTCAGTGTTATTATCACCTGCTCTAACTCATAGAGGGGAGAAAGGGGAAAGAGCTGGAAAGAGAGGATATCTAATTGACAGATTTCCCCCCCCATTTTACTCCTGTTTTTTCTACAATTGGTTAAAGGGAAGAAGGGATGGTTATTAAGTCTAGTCATTGGATGGCAGTGTTGATAGAGGATTCAGAAAGTGATGGTGAGAGAGATGTATGTCAAACTCCTGAGAGGTTTTCTCCCATAATATTCACATGTCTCACAGCAGTTTTGTCTTTTAGAAGTTTGCAGCTGCAGCTCTCTTATACGGGTTCAGCAGTAAATATAACAACTTCTGCATCTTGCTTGTGAAAACGTGGGAACATATATTGTGTAAAGGACAATATAGTGTACTGTCGCCCCACCAAGGACAGAGTTACACTGTATACAACTCAACAGCCCACTGGTGTGGACTAAGCTTGTTTGACTGTGACATATTCAAATATTTATCTCATCATTTCAGAGAGCAAAATGAGATTAGGCAAATTCTTGAAATATTTAAAATTTAAGCCTGTCTGAGCATTTACTACTTGCTCGACATGGCATCGAGAACTGGAAATCAGGGTAAAAGCCAGTAATTGGTGTTGCATTGTCATGCCATTCAGTCTGTATCACTCAAACTTTTGTTTTTATTTTCTAATGTGAGCATTGGAAAATGACAATTTAATGATACTGTGTTTTTGGGGCCTATATGACTTAGAGGTAAAGATGCACCAATCTCAGACTTAGTAGCAAATAGTAATAGTGTCTGTTTTTATTCATTATACAAAGAGCTAAAAATTATGGCAAAATACTCTAATCTTTTTCCATAAATGTAAAATTTTCCAATTTCCAAAAAACTAAAATTAGCAAGTTTAGCATCTAATACACGATGTGATTGAACAGACAACCTGTTATACATTTTACTTTCTATCAGCTGCCAATGTCTAATTTTCTGTTTTTGCAGCCTTAATCAAAAGTCTAATGGCTTAAAGAGAACACAAAGTTTTCTTTCTGAAAAGTCTTTGGTGATTTTCTTTATTTTCTATTTCAAAATCTTACTACCGGTAATCAAAACTGATAAGTAATTTTCCTGTCATTATGACTTTTATAATGAATATTATTACTGTCTGTGTGAATTGATGGTACTTTTGTTGGGTGCATTTTCCATAATCTTATCTAATGTTTGTTCTTTAGTTTTCTCTGAATCCTTGCAACTTCCACTGTTTAAAGCATGTTGTGTGTAAAAGTGGCCAGTTTATTTCGCCAGTTGGTGTTTTATTGAATTTCTGTTTAGAACATTATTTTAACCCTTACTGTGCTAATGCATGCTGGTAATTAGTTTGCTTGCTGTTAAACAAAAGTATGATTTATTTTTCAGTCGACATGACCCCCTCCTAATCCCTGGAAATGAACAAATTGAAAACATGGACATGAACGTGAAGAGGTATGACTCGACAGGGATGTTTCACTGGTGCCCTTCCAAAGAAATCGAGAAAGTCATCCTGGTAAGTAGAGCTGCAGCTTTGCACCAACAGTCCTGTAATATATAGATATAAAATATTTTGGTCCGGAGCAAATGTTTCCCATCAATACTGCAGTAACAGAATACATACTAACTTGTACTGATAATCTTTTTTACTGCATCTCTGTTGTTTTAAGGTGAGTTTGTTTGTTTCCCTTTAATGTCTCAGTCTTTTCACACTTATCACCAAAGGGGTTTAATATAACTTATATTTAATTTAGAAGAATTGAGTTGGGTTAGCCTCGGTGCAGTCACTATTTGAAAATAATCACAAGAAATTATTTTCAATAGCTGAAAGAATTTGTGTTTATTTTGTGTGACTTACACAATGTTTATTTTTTCAACATAGTTTTCAACCAATCTTCTAATAATTTTTTTGTGAATTTTTACAGCACTAGTGGCTCATATTTTATGGACAGTAGGCAGACAGGAAAGGGGGTATGATAGAGAGGGAGAGACATGCAGGAAAGGACCACAGGCTGGATTTGAACCCGGGTTGCCCGCATTGAGTACGTGGGTTGTGTGTGCTAACCACTGCACCACCAAATACACTGCAATACTTTAATAATTTGATTTTCACAGTAGTCCCAGTGAATTACCAGGGCAGCTTTTTCCAAACTTAACCTGGCAATGATGCAATGGATTTACTTAATATATAATGCAGGTGACATTAATGCAAAGAATAAATCTTTAACAGATTAAGCCGACCTATATTAGTTTTGGGGTATCTAATTAAACACGGTAGCTAATTGATAGGCAAGAGAGAAAGGTTGAACTGCTAGTGGTATGACTGTCTGACAGTCTTGTTGTTTCTTGTCTCACTGAGGGATTTTGAAGTTTGTTAAGAGTAGCAGGAATGTTCATATATCACCGGGACTTGGTGATGTATGACAGTTCAAGCTATCATGAAAAATGTACTTGCTTGCCTGATTAAGTGCTTGATAAAATGCTGCCAGCTGGTTGGTCAGTGATGCTGCTGTTTCGAAGGTTAACAACACGTAGAAGTAGTCAGGACTGTTGTTCAGCAATGCATCGCTACAAACATTTGTGTAAATGTTTGTCCAACGTAAACATATTAGGCTTTATTTACACAATAAGGGTGCCCGTAAATAAGAGGGTACTTTATTAGATCTTGACCCATAAATTGCCTGGTTAGTTTTACCCAGTAAATCCTTTCTGCTTTATTCACACATAACCCTGACCCAGTAAATTAGCAGTAAATATCTGGGTAAGGTTATGTTATAGTGTCTTTATTTATCTGGTAAGAATCATTTTTAAGCACACTGTCTAAATTAGATAGTCTCAATCATTGTTTCTGTGACACTTTTTACCCCTTTTCCTTATATTCTCCTCTCCCTTATCCACCCATCCCCTTCTTTTCCCGTCAGACCCGAAGCGAAGCCTCCATGACTGTGCTGAGCGGCCATGTAGTGGTCTGTATATTTGGGGATGTCACGTCCGCTTTGGTGGGGCTGCGAAACCTGGTGATGCCTTTAAGAGCCAGCAACTTTCACTATCATGAACTTAAACCTATAGTGTTTGTGGGCTCGCTGGATTACCTTCGGAGAGAGTGGGAGACTTTACACAACTTTCCCAAGGTCTCCATCTTACCTGTGAGTGCTCAGTTGGAACATTTTGAGTTAGACACATATTGAAATCCTGAAGGAGTGCTATCAATTTGACATCGTCACACACGTTGCTTGATTGAAAGATCACTGCATGAGAGCTCAGTTAACTGCCTTGATCTAGAGCAGAGACACATCCTGCATATCCAAAGTAGAGTTTATGAGTGCTGCAACTGCAGTGCCCATCACAGATGGCATGGCTTGGTGCCTTGGAGCTTGTTAGGCCAGGCTTGACTGATGATCAGAGGAGAATCCCAAACACAGCCCTCAGCACAGGCTAGCCTTTATATTAGTCCATGTCTATGAATCTCTAATGCCTGGTTAGATCAGTGGAATGTCATTGCCTCAAAACAAGAATACTTGTTAACTAATTTCCCAAAGCTCCACTCTGCTCACTTCTTAAATTTGTTTTTCTCTCCCCCATGTCTTTCTGTTCTATTTTTTTTCCTCTCTCTGTCTCTTGCCCTCTCTCTGGCGGTCTCACTCTTTTTCTCTGTGTTCTTCTCACCCTGAAGGGTACACCATTAAGTCGGGCAGATTTAAGGGCTGTCAACATCAACCTCTGTGACATGTGCGTAATACTGTCAGCCAATCAGAACAATATCGAAGATGCCTCTCTGCAGGATAAGGAATGCATCTTGGCATCACTCAACATCAAGTCTATGCAGTTTGATGACAGCATCGGGGTCTTACAGGCTAATTCCCAAGGTAAGGAGCGTCCTATTAGACATCATGTACACTGTTGCCCAAAGGGGACAGGTAGTGGCAGGGAGGGAAGATGGTAGTCAAGGATGGAAACAGAGAGGAGGAAAAAATTGGGCGGGGATCAAGCTGCCACACTGTAGGAAGGAATATAGAGTGCTAAATGTTCTTAATAAAATTCTATGCAAGTCCACTGTATCATCCATAGACAGACAGCAATGCAGCTCATGATGATGTGCACACTGAAAACCTTGTGTTGATTGCTTTGTCAAACCTTTAAAGTTCACGTCTTGTAATTTTCTGATGATTTCAATGTTGTCTCTGGTAATTAAATGCTTCTAACCCTCTCTGATAATACTTTTTAATGATGTAATCAACATGACTGTGCCGTTTGATGTTGTTCCCCCCGATACAGAGTCTGGCAGATCGTCTGGAACAGATTGTTGATGTTTGCAGACAAACATATGAACCTGGCATCCCATCAGGCCTCATCATCATTAAGCAGCTAGTACAAATCACCAGGCAGGCCAATTCAGCTGCTCCTCATTAGTCACAACAAAACAGCGACACATGCGGGCACACGCTTCTCGCGTCCGTGTGGGTGTGTTTACACCCATTTAGACACACACTCAGATTCATGCCAAGGCAATCTGTGCAGAGACACTCACACACAGGTACCCCTCAGTGTATGTTTACCTTGAAAGCCATTCCTCAATCTCAGTGCAATGTGCACCAACTCAACAGAGATGGTGTCTCGAGTCTCTCGCATAGATTCTTGTTGCTCTATTTTGCGCTCGGGTGTGTGTTCATGGTTGTGTACCTCTGTGTTGCCCTGCAATGGACTGGCTATCTGTCCAGGGTGCACCCTGCCTTTTGTCCGCACCATGACCCAGCGGGACAAGCAATAGAAGATGGTTGGAATTCACAACACTTGAGGCACCTAAGCATTCAATTCATCAAACCATACAAAGTGGTTAAGAAACAAAAGAATTACTTCAATTGTTGCAGCTTTAAAGCATAACTTAGAACAATGGTTTGTGTTAATCTTTTTACTGTTGTAAGTGCTATAAAAAAACAAAAATGTCTTTATTTTGTAAGAAACATTTCCACATGTTTAACTAAAATAGCAGTGGTATTGTTTTTACCAGCCACGAGTGACTGATTAGCCTTCAGTGGCAGTGCCACCAAGGACCAATAAGCAGCAGGCAAACCTCAGAGCTGTTGCTCTGGGGAGCAGCACTCACAGAGAGCCTCCTCTAGGCGAAAGCTCATTGGATGTGGCACCTCCCCCAGATCGATTCATGGAGCTGGAGGTTATCAATAACTGCGTCTTACACGAATTATCCATTTAAGAAAACACACTTTCACAGTGACATGCATTCATGCATACACAAAATATGGAAAATGCACTAACACACCCAAATGCTGCTATTGTTCAGGGATTCCTTCCTTCTGGCTTTTCTCCCATTCAGACGCTATCTGTGGAATTTGGAAGGTGCAAATGAATAAGTAAACATGTGCTTTCCTGGGGGAGAGCTTCTCACGCTGCTTGTAGAATGTAGTCAACCACAGAGCATAGCTGTGCCCGCGGGGCAACAAGGATTCGGGGGTATGTAACCCAGATCTCACTTGTCTATAGTAGACAGTAGCTCAAGATGCACCATTTTGCAGCCTCTCACAATGAAAAACAATGTAATGGAGAGGATTTTGTGTAATAAAGCTGCTTTAATACTTTGGGGGAGAATATTTTGTTGAGCTAATTTCATAAAAAGGATATGAAATGTATGAGGTCCTTGAAAAACATACAGAATTCAATTTAATTAAAGCTAAGAAGCCAAGTTATGAAGGGCTCTGCACTCAGACCTTTGACTTGATTTATTTGCTGAAGATGCAATATTTTTTAGGGTAATATGCTAATGCTTCATGTTGAGATTAAATTTTCTAAGGTAATTTAGTAGAACTGCAGGTTGCTAAGACAAGGTAACACATTTAGGCTCTGAATAAAGACATCAGGCTCTCTGGAGCTTACCAGCTCATACCGAGTTGCAGCTTTTAGGTTGTAACCCTAACATGTTTTTGAAAGCAACACAGCAGTAGGCCCCTGTTCCCCACCAGCATCAGAATCTAGTGTTTGAGCTACACAAATCGGAGGCTGCTCTTCTACAACTTTGCACTGTCTTCAGTTTTGCTATGATAAACTGTTATGGTAGCATTTACGAGGCAAAGACAAAAAAAAAAAAACAACAAACTTGCTATCACTCTTCTTGGCTTTAAGGATATTGACGGTCTGATGTTGGAGCTTATGCTCCCTGGCTGACTTGCATTGTCATACTTGGTTTAATAATTGGTATAACCAATGTAGAGATCAACTAGACTTCAGTTCAGTGTTGCTTTCTACCACATCCTAAACTACTCGCATCTTTTCATTTCAAAGGCCTGAAAGCTCTCTTTTGTAATGTGAGCAGCATATTGAGGTTTTTGACAAGGAAAGAACACACACCACACACACACACACACACACATATACAAGCACGGAATCTGCAATCGTTTTGAAACTTTGTGACCTGAATTTATTCCTTGCCTTATGTTTCCATGGCCATGGCACTATAAGGTGACATTTTGCTGTAGTCAGCACTAAATGATGGATGTCAAAACACAGGTGATGCATTATGCATATAGCATTACAGATTTAGGGTGTTTACTTGTCACTTTGAGAAAATGCAAAAATGTGAAGTCATGTGAATTCTTACTCCTGTCACTTGTGCTTATATTTCATGGTTCTGTGCTGCACTATAAAAGGTTTTCAGGATCCACTTCACCAATTTTATCGTAACAAAATGAACAACATATAAAATTTATGCTTGCCCATAGATGGAGAGATGTGAATGCTAAATTTGTCTTTGCTAACCTCTAAAAGCACAGTAACTATTGCAGTTTTTAAGGAGGCACCTTGTTCACTTATCTGACTTTTTTTCCCCTTCTGAAAAATCTACACACTTAAATTGTGCTGAAAGTAACATAAAAGCCAAAGGTTGAGTAAGCTGATGTGAGCACTATGTATAACAATACAGACACACAGTTCTTATTGACATTGCAGTTTAGATGATGCCCTAGCAGTAAAATATATCTAATACTGTTGTAGATTTCCTTGCCTTCAGTTTTTTTTTATTATTATTATTCATTACTAAATCAAAAAAATAGTCACTACTTTGCAAGGAAAGGCAGCATATAAAGGGTATGAGTATTTAAGATTAAAGAAAAAATACTGTATGGAAGACCTAAACGATAAAAAATTAAATGATTTTAAAAGTTTAAAACAACTAATGGAAATGAAAATCCTGGTTTCTGTCAAGCATCATCAGTTTAAGTGAGGGGATATCATGAAAACAAATACAAAGATTTGAGGTAAAAGTCTGTTATAAATGCCCTTATATTGAAAATTCGGTGCTACAGCTTAACTTTCTGCCAAGGGAAGTAAATATACATATTTATAACATTAATTAGTCAAGAAAACTCCCAAATTCATTGCAAAACTTGCACAGATATACTTCAATTACATTTTCAAACATCTTTAATAGTTTACTGTTACATTATTCAGTCACCAAATGGATAAACACTAAATTGTATTATTGTTAGAACTAGTCCATCCCTTTTTAATCAGAAAATTAGAGTTGATTTTGACATTTGTTCGACAGTCATTTTACTACATTTAATATTAGTTTAGTAAATAGTAAAAATAAAAAAATAAAAATGTTTAACTGGTTGGAAGATGAGCACCTGCATGCTGCTGAGCTACTTTGAAACTAATTGGCATTTATGACAGGTATATGCAATGAAGAATCAGGTCACAGCAGTTAAAACAGTAAAACTGTAATGTATAGTGCTTTAAATATTCTGTAAAAGGATTTGATATGTAGTAGTTAGAAAGGGTTAGAATACTGTATTATTATTGTATTAGTTATGCATTTTCTGTTTTAGGTGGTGCTGTGCTCAACTTTTTATATTTTAAATTGCAAGATTTTTTATATTTTAAATTTCAAGATCTTCTTTTTTATATATTTAATGTTGGAAAATAATTGAGACTGAGTTGAAATAAATTAGCAACAACTTTTGTCCTTTTTCATTTGCAAAACTGCTGGCAATTAAATATTTCTTAAAACTCACTCTAAGCTGAATAATTTGTTGTATCAAAAAAGAAACACAAAAAAAGAACATCCAAGCTCGAAAGGCCCCCATTGTTAATAAATGTGATGATGAAAAAAATGAAACACAACTATTAAATCTACAAATAAATGTATGGTAATTAATTTGTTTTTGATCATTGATAAAACACAAAGCCTCAATAAACCATATAAATCTGTTTTATCTGACAAGCAGGGCTCACACTGTGATACAGACAAGCTGATTTGTCTGATGTTAAAAAATGCTGTCAAATTTAATGAATAAGATATTAGGGTCTGTTTGTTGAGTCATGGTGACATTTTTATGTTAATAGTTAACATGCTTAATTATAAAGAATTCTGCATTTTAATACATAATTTCCCTTATTTTTTAGCCAAAATGTTTCTATATAAACATGCTGACAAATTATTGACCTCTTGGATTGTTGCATTTTTAGAACTTTGTGAACCATTTCTAGCTTTAAAACTATATTTCTTTAAGTGCTTGTGTTATTTTTATTTTTTTTTGTTATTCTTTGCTAAACTGTAGTAATAATAATGATAAAACTTAATTTCATTAGCAAAATATTGAGAACAACTTCTTATTTGTAACTTTAGTCTTAAAGGGCAAAAAAACTTCAATGTTGAAATGAGAAGAGGACAAAGGTTTACCTATCGGTACATAAAATGAGCAATGCATTCATTCAGCATCAGAATAACATGACTTTTGAAAAAAAGTCCTTTAATCTTTCTTTATTAACAGGTTTGTCTTGCTTGATGAGAAATTATTCAGACATTTCTCTTTTTTTGTGTTGCGTTCAGGTTTCACGCCTCCTGGAATGGACAGGTCATCTCCAGACAGCAGTCCAGTACATGGCTTTGTGCGTCAGGCTTCGGTAACCACCGGATCCAACATCCCCATCATCACAGAGCTAGGTAAACCAGTTTCCACCCACCTCTGACACTCATACTGCATGGTACTGTATACCTTGTAAACTAAACTCAGCTCATAATTCATCCCCAGAACATCAACAAACAGATCTGATAACAATTCAACTCACTCTGCATTCAAAAGTTCCGACTCATTCAGTGTCTGATTGACTGAGGAATGCATTGTCCGGAATTTTTGTCTACCTCTAGTTTTTTTTTTGTTTTTTTTTCCTACATTACCCGATTTGCTTAGGTGCTTTTAAATGACAAGTTGATTTGAAGATGTCAGACGGGCACTTTTAGGACAAAAGCTCCATCTCTTGCAATTTGTTCACTAATGGATAAGGGAAACTCAGCCGGATGGAGAGGGTGAAAGAGGGAGAAAAGGTAGGAGGACAAAAAGTGCCTTGGCTGCAAAATATGTCCATTTATTAATAACAATGCCACTGGTTGTATTCCCATTGGTGATGGGGACTCATGAAACTTTCAGATCTCTAAGGGCCTTCTGAAACACCAGAGACCAGCCACTTTGTCTCCCCTGACCCAATTAGGGAGCAGTGGAGCATGAGGCCAGTGAAAAAAAGACCAGAAAGAGAAAGCTGCTACCTAATGCTACTTGCACCATGCCCAGTTCCTGAACTGAGGTTCTCCCATTACACTTGCTGACCACTCAAATGATCGCCCAAACCAGATAGTCGGGTTGGAGTCCCATACTTGAGTGGTAGCAAGCACTGGCGTTGTGTTGCTACATGCTTTCTGGCAAGCGTCAACTCAAGACGTGATAACATTGTTTCCTATAGTTGAGGAACGAGCAGAGAGAGGGGAGAGTGGCTGCATGTCACACTAGTACCATATGCTGTAATTACATTGTCATATCTTCAAGTTACAGAGCCAGGAGCAGATTAAAGCTAAGTCAAATGAAAAACAGTCTCTATCAAAGGTGCATGATCAATTTTGTTTGCATGGTGTGTGAAGAAGGTTTGTTAGTGGATAAGACATTGTTTATCCCTTGCACTGTGCTACTGTGATAAACATGACTGTGGTTTTAACTGGTTAGTGCTGTGACACCTATGGATTTGATATGCTCTTTAATCCTTAGACATTGGAGAACCATGAGAGTCGGCACAACAATACTGAGACAATAATAAAAAAAAAGCGTTTGAACCTGTTTCAATAACAGCGTCTCTCCTCCTCTGTACTGTCTCATCACCATTAGCTAAACCTGGCAAAATATTGCCACTGGTTTCTCTCAGTCAGGAAAAAAAAAGTGGAACCAGCATACAAATGATAACAGAGCTGGGTAAGCTGAGCCTTTGTCTGCTGCTGCCATTAGTCCCTTGCACCACTGCTCGTCTCCTCATCAGCTTGTCTTGATTTATCTTGCTGCACTCAAGGCTACCGTTGCTCCCATGGCTGCACTTAAAAAACACAAAAAATTTGTTGAAATTGACATTCTTTTTAATTATTTTTCCCCCTTTTTTGTCTGGAGTGCATCACTAGGCCTTTGATCATGGACATCTGTGTGGCTGTTTTCATAGCAACATGCTGCTCTGCACCTTTGTTCTCCTCCGGTTACTCTACATTATCTCTTGCACGCCAGGCTGCCCCCACCCTCTCCACCAACTCACCTTTCACTCCTTTGGTCGAGGCCTATTTGGTTCATATTCTCTTTGACTGACATTGTAGTGCCACATTGTATAGAAAACCAGTGATAAAATGTGGAAAATCTGACGAAAAACAACCAGTGATGCATGATATATTGGAATTATCATCAGATTCAGACAATTGTAGTCATTTTTTAACATATTGTAGTGGTTACGCACTATATGTAAAATTGGGCTCATATCATTGACCAATATTCATTTCTGTATGTATGTGTTTTGGGACAGGGAAAAAAGTGGGTTTGCCATATGTTTATTTTATTTATTTTTTATGGGGGCTCTGCAGTGTCTTTCTGGACCAGAGAAATTATGTCAACTCTATTAATATCTGATATCATTACCAGTCTAAATGTTTATATTGTCTCCATAGAAATAATTAGCATTTTTATTATACAGATTCATTTCACACAGATTTGTACTTTTCGAGAAATTAATCTAAACCAAAAATCCTTTTTTCATTTAATACAGATATTTTAGCCAGCTTAACATTATGTACATGTACTATAAAGTATATGCAGAATATCGACACATTGTGAATCTGAAATGGGTTTTACTTTAAAATCCTTATGGGGCAGTGATAGCTGCTTGTAATCGCTTTTTTTCACCACAATTTTTCCTTCCACCCACTTTAAATTAAAATACTTGTATATAGCACTCTGTGAGCAAACTAGCTTCTTTTTCATTGATCTTTTGTGCCTTAATCTTTCTTGTGTTAAGTAAACCCTGATGGCTAGAACTATACTGAACAGAAAAATATATTTTTTGCAAGTAAGTTTTTTAATTTACCCAAGATTTTCAACATTTTGACACTCATGGACCTATAAGTCAAAACCAACAGAGATGATACTCCGACAAATCTGTGTGTAAGAAATGTATATACTGCAATGTGGAAGCTTAACTTTGAATAAAAGTCACTTTTGGTGATGTTCTAATTTATTTAGATTAGCCTGTAATGTTGGCACTTCAACCAATAACCCATAACACTGCCTCTAAAAGGATACAGTGAAAAGCTGTTTTTTTTTTATTTTTATTTTTTTACACCAAGCCATTCAGTTCACTCAGCAGAACACGTCTACACCTGATGTCGATGTGGTAAAACTGTGTTGTCACTTGACTTTAATTTGAATTTCAGGGAACTGGTAAACATGTAAGTTTCTCAGATAATGATGATGTGACAAACGCATCCATCAAGGAAAACTCTTCAAACAAAAGCATGATTTTATTAATGCATGCTGTCCTTATGTGATTATGTGATGTAATAGCCATTGTTAAAGTCACAGTTTAAAAACTTTGAAGTTGGCCATCATTATCTCTACATCTGTCAAAAAAGAGCATATCTCTCTCTCTATTATATATATACTGTATATATATATATACCGTAAATTCTCTAATATAGGCCCGGGCCTTTATTTCACTCAAGTGCATCGCGGTCCAGGCCTTTATTGGA